ACCACTCTTCACTGTTATACTTCTGTACTTACGGTTAGTCTGTTAGATATAGATATAACTAGAATTCGACACTAATTAATAGCTGTCAACGACACTGTCCGACTTACAACTTTAAACTAATGACAGTACAAATATGGATATCGATTGATAATACACTTATCCTACTATCGCTATAGCATCATTACTCTTGCGGCAGACTTAACGTTCGTCATCGGAGGAACTGAATTGCTTGTCAAAGCTATATATTTCAGCGCGACTTGATAGAACAGTTAAACGCTTTGTTCTTTTCATTATTTCTATGGTTAATCAATTTACGTTTAAGCAACGTCCTACTAACATATTATGACTCGCTGTTTCCCGACCAGTTTCTGCCGCCTCCTTTCCATTTGTTTTACAGATAAGCAATACCTGGAGAATTTATAATATTCGTTTGGCACTCTCCGGCGCGCTATTGCTCCCAACATGTTTGGTACCGATTCAAACGGCCGCTGAATCTGGTGGGGGAGTATTGTAGGGCCAGTGAAATGTCACTGAGCCCTAGCCAAATCATCCGGCAGTTGGATCACTGAATGTCGAACAGATCGTCGCTCCCTGCCAAGGTCATGTACTACAAACGCGCATTAGTTAATCATACGCCATGGACTGGCCCATGCGACAGTGGTCTTACTTTCGCCTGTATCTACCTTAACTAATATATTTCTGTAATAACGTCCTTTGTGTTGTACAGTCTTCAAAGCATCTATAGTACCTTGTTACGTCAATGGGGGTAGTCCACGTAAGGTGCTGACCACGAGGTGTGACTTCGACGTTAGTTGGTTCGTCACACCATTCACGTCTAACTGGAGTAGGTCTCCAATCATTTCGACATAGATCATCTACGTTGGTGATCTACACCGTAATAATTTGAATTTGTTCTAAATTGTCCGTCTTAATATTTACTTTGTGGACTTTTCTAAATTTATTTATTTATGATGATGACAATGTTATTTGTGGTACTTCGTATTGAATTGGGAACCAGTGACGATAAATTCTAAACTAGAGAACACTATACAAATCCTTTTCGGTGCCTTTCAGGCAGACAAAGACCTCTATTTTATTTATGAAGATGTTAATAATGATCCTCGTGATGTTGTTACGAAATATCATGATGCCTTGTTATCGAACGTGAAAAAATATTTTATACTGCAGAAAGCTCAGACAGGAACAGTCCCATTCAGACAAGTGATTGATCCGACAATCACTTGTAATTTATCTTTGGGTATTAAACCCCGTCACTCATGTGGTAAACTGCATCTTCGTAGTTCATGTCAGTTTTGTTATGTACATTGCTGTAAATATGAAAAGGTTGGACATACACAAAAGTTTTTGTAAAAGTCATTTACTACTAAAACACTGAATGGTGTTGGATCAAAACCACCTGACTCGGACAGAAGGACGGATTCTTTGCCGCTCACTATCATGTTATTCAGTCCAAGTAATCTAGGAGTTGGAAAAATGCATCTAGTTTCTCGACTCACCATCGTAGAACTCATGACATTCTAGATAAATTCCTTAAATCTCGAATACTTCGAACTCAAGTTCAAATGGTCATTTGATGAACAAAATGACTACCAACCTTCCACGTAGACTATAATTCAAAGAATGGGTAGTCCGATAGTAAACGTTCTAGGTTTAAATAACCATTCAACTAGCGGCAGATATGTACAGACTTGGTGAAGATTAATGAAGTTGGTGATTCCAGTTTTCATTCTGACCATTCTCTAATCCTAATTCTGAACTCCAAATAAACAGTTTCAACCTCAATTTTGACAATTCCCCTGTCAATAATGACTCTCTAGATAATTCCGAATTTCAGACGGATGAAGAAAATAAAAATCAGAGTGCTGAACAATTAAGAAAATCTAACAGAAATTCAAATAAATTCAGACTACATTATAGACAAATAAACAGAAAATCAATGTGTTGCGGTGTAGTGATGTGGTGTTTGAATGAACTAATGATACCTTTGTACTTGTTGAATGCTCGATTTCGAATTCCAAATACAATACATTCGTTTGTGCTTGTGTCTCACTTCTTAATTCAGTTGCGCTAATTCTGGGATTCCTAGTTCATAATACAATTCAAATTATTCAAAATATTATAAGTGAGTAATCAGTTCACTGTACAGTTAAATATTTCATGTGTTCAAGCCTATTACAGTAACAATACAAACTCATATTACGTAGTTCGAAATTGAGTGTTTGATTGTGTCTTGTTAAAGCTCTAAACTTATCATTTTAGTAATATTTCGTTACATTATTCCAAATTCACATATACCAACTTGAGTATTATATGTAGGCCATATTTTTTACGAACATACCCTTATCAAATAGCTAAATAACTTCACGAAACGAACTCAAAACTTTACAGCAATACACAGAATATGCCAGCGTAGCCACAATTTTGATGCCAATTTATATAATTAGAAGTATCTCTGCCTGACCACAAGGAATCAGCCCCGAAAGCTTTTTACTTCGAACATTGAATTTTGTCTTGTAGTGGCTGTGTTTCGATAATTAATCACCCTCGAACCGTTATCGTATAATCTTCAACGATGTTTGAAATCAGAAGGCAAAAAGAAGCAGCTACTACAGTTTATTTAGTAGATAATTCGGACCAGACAGCAGAGAGGCAAAAGGAATGAGCAAGCGAACTACGATTGTAGCAGTAGCAAGTAGTTGTAGTAGTAGTGAATGGGTGCAAATGTACATATATATATATATATAGGAAAATGGATGAGTCAGCGAATAGACTAAGCAGTTAATAATGAAGCTAGCAGAATGAATACATGCGTAGGCGCTAAACAATGTTCAAGCATATGTATTTCATACAAGCATAATAATAAAGATAGTACAACAAGTTGTTATATCATGGATGACTTTGTCCATTAAATAGGTCAACAAAAGGCCTTGACTGAACTAAACTCGATTGCACGTGAGTCACTATAGTCTTACTCTACACAGAATATGTCTCCTTAGAAGGCTGACATAGGTTCCTCCCGCAGTCTCATGTATATATTGTGTGAACGTTACTATTTTCTTAAAGTGGGAGTCCAGTAAAAGTAAATCAGTTGCGAGGTACTTGGCCGGTATGGAAGAGTTCATTTGACATATTTTGCTATTCAATGTGGTCAGTCAGTGATTCAGTATGATTCTGTTAAGAGCGTGACATGATATTAAGCCATTACATTACATATGATAGAAAAAAATGTCTAGTTTTCCCTCTACGGTTCTAAATTACGAACTATAACTTTATAAGATATTACATTTTTTTTTCTCTATTAATAACATTTCATAAAACATTTCTGCTACAGCTGTGATACCTCCACAACTAAACTTTAAAAATGTGGCACACGTGGCTTATTTCACAATTTTCTGATGAAGCATTTCTGCCAGGTAGCAAGGACAAAATTCTTGAACCCTATCTCCTTCATTTACAGCTTGAACCTTCCAGAAGGTGAACAAATGTCAAAAATAGTAACCGATGTAGAAATGTTATTGATCCAATACACTTGCCATGAGCTTTTAAAAAGGGATTAGTACCTTTGGAATAGCTTTTTGTTGTTCCGTTGCGGCCTTGGGTATTTCGTAATGATAAAATGGTATCTACACTATTTCAAAAGTTCAGTTTCATTCTGTGATACTAACGCTCACTACATGATTTTAGAGGATAACTTACTGAATAATAACCTTTCAGGATGCCTCATTCTTGCTATCCTGGAAAGTCTCAAATCGTATTAGACTATCGACTTTTAATTCTCTAACAATCTCAGGTTAGTATTATATTAGCGGTTCTTAGAACGAGATTATTTGATTTCGTCAGTAGAAACTCTGACTCAAACTTAATATAAGCGTTAAGCTGTTTGAATTATCTCGCAGGCTCGAGATAGACCTGCGCTATCTCAAATTCACATTCGTTATTGCCTACCAAATATATAATTGCCCGGTGGTTACGTTTCGCAGTCCACTGAATCCTTAAAAGTATCCCATGAGAATGAGGATACACTTATTTGCAAACCGAATTACCAGAATAATGGGTCTTCCTGTCCTTATTTTGCTACTATGTTCTTTGATTTTCGAAATGATAGCATAGTAAGCAAAACGCTCACTGGTCGTCTCCCATATTTCCCGGACGAGGCTTGGATGCTTCCAAAATACGTTTTACCGAAGTATTATGTAGGTAACAAGCCTATCACAACTCGACGAGAAACCAATGCTTACCAAGGAGAAATCGGGGATCTCTTCAAAGTCAACAGATGTCTTACCCGAGCGGGTCTATCAGCACGACTTGCCTTACATGTTTCTTCGAGCGAAATTGGTAGACACGCAAGGCATCCATTGTACCACTGCTTTTACAAAATAGCCTAAGACTGAATTCAACAAGATCAATGGAACTAGTTTGCAAAATCTTGGGACAAACGAGGTATAAACTGAGTGACTAGAAGAGCAGATGGACTGACCGATCTTCAATGTTGTATTTGGTGACTTCAATACTTAACACTAAAAGAGGTACATAACGTCTAATAGACCACGTCTCCTCAATATAAATCATTTATGTGAACAGTCATTTCTGTACTCCCACTCAAATAACTTTATTTTGCTTTTCATTTTCATTGCAAAAAACTTCAGTGTTCATGAAACATGACTAGCTTGTTAACAGGATTTGAAATACCTTCACATAAGTTGTCAGTTATCTGCATGGTGGCTAGAAAACGTAATGTGAACCTACTTTTTACCCTACACTGACACTTCGAAGCGAAAGACCTATACGACGGCATAGAAACGCATCTTATCACATTAGAAAGAAGAGACTGTCAGATGACACAAGCATTACTTTGGTTCTCAGTGGGGACTTGCGTCAATACGCGATCTCTCGAAACACGGGGAGAACCTGCAGTTTCCGCAAGGCAGCTAGATCTAGACAATCCTCGAGAATGTAACATATGAATTAATATGATAAGTAATACGAAGTATTATATATATTTATAACACTTTTGTTTGCCGAGTGGAATACGTGTTTTAAATAATACAGAGTCAGCTCTGTACTGACTGTACATGAGAGGATTATATCCATAGTGATTTGTTAACCAATTAATGCAGCGGGAACGAGCAGCATAGTGATCTGGACGGTCGTGTAGAGTGGAACCACAGTAAACGCAGTCAAATGACCAGTGGAGTGTAACCTAACAAATTCACAAGAAAAAAAGTATAGTAAAATCAAAGACATCCTACACCAAAAAGGTAAATTAACTTGCACTTTATATATATGTACATACATGAAATTAAGATTTTGTGGGATCACAAGAGATCCACACAAAGGCTTCAACAAAAACTATCCAACTCAGAGAATAAAATTCCATCTAAGTTATTCGTTTATCCCATTTCAAATGTAAACGACAATGTTCACATTTCGCAAACACGGAGCGAGACACATAGAGATCAGCACACCTTTTAATGTAAAATCCTTTACAGTATGAAGATGATTTCTGCTTTGCGTCGAGAATAATGGGATATTTATTCGTTTACTAAACGTGCTTTCAATATGTTTCAAGTTAGTTCAATATAAAAGTGATTTGCGTTAGCTTAGGTATAACTTATTATAAGTGAAAATAAAAATAAAATATCTCAATACATCTTTCAATAAGCGGTCAACTAGTATTCTACATTTGAAGTGTTATCAACCACACAAAAGAACTGTACCACTCAACAGAAGTTGGACCAGAGAGATAAATCAGTGTGATTAAATGTAAACTCACCTTCAGTGGGGGTTTTCTAGTTATATGTGCTAGAAGAAAATTCATTGCTATATCTTCACAATTGAAATAATCGTCTACCATGTTACGAATGTCCGGAGACATTTCCCACGTATAAGCAAATGTATAATACTAAAACAAAATAAAGAATGCGTAATTTTGATAACGAACAACTAACATTCTCTCTAAACAACTATGGATTGTACATTATTACTAAACATATTACCTGATCTTTTAACAAAAAAGCAATATGAACCACCGAGGAAAAACTTGTCGTTTCTTCAAAACTCATTGGCATCTATATTAGTGTTTATCTGTCAGTAAGATAATAAAAGTAACAAAGGAATGAGCTGTCTTTGACTGTAGTTGCAGACATGATTAACAGCATATATATAATGTCGTGACAGTATTACATGAAAGTTTAAAAACATAGTTATCAGAAACGCGAAATATTTATTACCCGTTAGTCTCTCGATTGACATATTTGGGTCTTCAAGTTTTTCTTTCATACAGTTTAGAGCTTCTAACATGAATGTTACAATGACTGTCTAAATGCATGCAAAAGATACTCCTTAGTAATCTTTGGAAACATCTTGACATTTTTCGTGATTTTTATATGAACTTTCCCTCTCAATATAAGCTGATTATATGTTGAAATTCCGAGGGTGGAGGAAAACGAAATAAAACAGTAATGGTCTATTTCTGCTTTATCTTTCCTGACGGTATTAAATGAAGCGAGGTTTGTAAATTAGTGAATCACCAAATTATCACCCTTAATACTGATTGTGAGATAAATAACGACTTATGTAGTATATAATATTCACAATATATATATTTGGGTTAATTCTGAACAACTGAAATCTGGTGCCAAAGCACACTATGTGAAAGAGGTGAACACTTCCCTTAGTGGATAAGGCCTAGTATAGTCGGTGAGAACTGAGGGATTACACAACCGCCTTCACTTTCCAATTGAGCATCCTCTGTATAAAACCTACCAGGCTCACTTAGGGACTTCTGTTGGATGAAGTCGGAATCTTGTATCGCAGTTGTAAAAACGTTGTTTTCCGTTGTTGTCAGAAATTTGAGCACTATATATATATATATATATATATATATATATATATATATATATATATATATGTCTTTAAAAAAACTGTGAAAATTAATCATCGTTTGACTAAGATAAGACGAAGGTATGACAAAATGTTTGGTAGCGCATTGACAAGTTTTGATATAAAAGGCACCGGATTAGAGAAATTTCTATATAAATCGTCTTTTAGAATGAAAAGACAAATGAATAATAGTTTATTCTATCTTGTGTCCTAGTCATAATCATAATCTCCTTTATACAAGCATAGACACATACTCCCAATATCAATCATACATAAACTGACTAAATTTTGATAGTTACAAGTGCAGCAACGGGTATGATTTCAACACACAATTTTATTCATATATTAGAATTTCATTAAGTTCGAGAAGTTTAACTCATACCTACTACTGAATCAGCTTATACTCATAATTTAGTTTCATTATTATTATTGTTATGATTATTAATGAAATATTATAAAAATTGACCATAAAAAATGAAATACCTTGTGAAAAAATGCAGCTCCAGTAAGAATCATTGAAAATTCACACATATAATCGGAATTATAAAACCACGAACTATCAGAACCATTCCAAAAATGAGCCCGTGCTGGGAAACCAACCAACTGATCACGATGTTCACGCCAAACGCTGAAATGTCAAGGGTCAATCATAGAGTGAATATTTTTATAGTAGTGAACGATAATATATATCAAACAAGTAAACAATAAAGAGTTGATTTCATCGATCCCGTCTCCTCATTACACTTTTGAAATTCTTCCCAACATAAGCCACTTATGAGTACAGCATACATTATTAACAAGAGATGTTTGCGGAAATTACTAAATTTTATGATAGTTTCCAACACAAACAGATGTTAACGAAAAAATCATCGAATAATTAAAAGGTATTGAGTCATCATTTCGTACCATTACAGGATTTCATAGCAGCCCACACCCACGAACTCTCTCATGAGTCGAACTCAGGAACTTTAGGCCTCACGACGAGCGGTTTGTTTAAAAATACTGATTAGGAGTTCCATTGAAGAATCATTACATAAAGATAATGTTTACTGTCTGTCCGACTAATAAAAACATTTTAAATATCTCAAAGACGAAGTACAGGTTTGTGTACTAGGATTTCAGAAACACATTTATTGTATGAGAGTTACAAATATTATCCACCTGCTCAAACGTAAGTAGTAAAGAATGGAAGTACAACTTGAATTTACTGACCGATAGCTTTATATCAAGCCCTTAAACGACTCGATTATCCTTTTATATGAAAACCAACTAATGTTTAAGAACAATGACCCATTTCAATCATAAAATTTTCAATAACCAAATCGAAAGAATACTTGAAAATCTGAGATATTTACGTGTTATTGTACTTACCGAAATCCAAAAACAATTTCATCATGACGTAGTTGAATATCATCATCAATGGATAGTATTGCATCAGTTTCGATCAAATCATAAGGCAAAAATCGATTATTCAAACTGTTATTTTGGCTAAGGATAACCTATGAAAGAGAAATAATTAGTTTACTACAAATAATTTGTTCGCTTTTAATGTTCAATGAAAAGTGGCGGTCTTTCAAGGACAATAAACTCGATATAAACTCTAGGTTTTAAAATGACTTATCAAAATGTCATTTGTTTATTCAATCAATCTAAACAAGAACATGAACCATTAAGTTACATTTAAAATTAATGATAATAATTTAGACTAACATTTGACCAAAATTTTCAGATAAAAAATTATTGTTCAGCTGTAATTTTTGTTTATGTGAACAAGTAAGTCGATAAAAAACATATAACAGTTTCAAACATCTGTGAAACAATCATAGGAGCAATTGGACAAATCTATTAGATTGCTCAAAAATGCTGTCTAAATGATAATTAGCATGAACAAAACTGTATTAAAATCCTTTGGAAATCAACTGTAACATCTATTTATTAATTTCAATGGTTGAGATCATGAGTCAGTTGAAGCTAGATCACCGTGGAAAACCTGGAAGCACTGGACGGCCGTTTCGTCCTATTGCATGACTCCTCAGCAGTGTGCACCCATGATCTCGCCCCCCTCAAGATTCGAACCCAGGACCTATCAGTCACACGCGCGAGCACTTAACCACTAGACCACTGGACCGGCATTCAACAGTGTTAATGTCTAACGTCAACTAGTCCACGAAATTGAGCGACGCATCCACCATTGTCATCAGTGAGTTACTATATACATATATATGTATCGTGATACTGTTGCGTCATCGAATTTAGTAGGAAAAGGAATAAGAAGGTGCAATTTGTATTTTTTATGTTTCGCCCCATACTGTTTTATGTCTCTTAAGAAAAACACAGTTGATATTCTTTTTGAAATTTATGTTAACAATGAAAACGTTTTCAGGATAATTAATTTCTTAATCATTATAAAAAAGTTACACCATTACTGCAAACAACCACAACTAAGTAATTAATTGTGGAAATTAACGCATTTGTTATTAATTATAGGTTATATGCATCACATACTGACTCCAGCTGGGGTATTGTTTGAGATCAAAAAGCATGAAATGGCTGTTTTGCACTAGTATTGGACTCCTCGGTAGCATCCAGCTAAGATCCTACAAAGGATCTGATCCAGGATCTTTAAGTCTTACGACAAAAGTAGAAGAATAAGAACTATTAAATCAACGTCTAGTGGTCTAATTCCAACTCCAATCAATTTGTGATCTGGCGACAACAATCATCCAATATTATTGATGACATCTGCATCACAACTGACATGCCTGAACTCCAAGTCATAACTTTTTACTAGAACTTCAGGAACATTTTGAGGCAGGTCATTAACGATCTGACCGTTGTAGTTTAAATGAACGGATAATAAATACAACTTGTGAATTAAACTAATCTCCACAAAACCTTTTCAAAATTCGTTATTATATTTATTCGGTCCGATTATGGTTTAGAACAAGTTATTATTAAATCAATCGAACTAGACAGAAAATTTTTATCAAAACAAAATGTAACTAGATTGAAAATAATTCCAATGAACTTTCATATTTCATCCAAGATTACGTAGAGTCTTAATGTTTTCTGAAGAAATTAACACTATAATGTTTGACTATAAATGATGGGAAATGATGATCAACAATGGTGTCATAGAAAACTTAATTCAGAATGAATGAAAAACTAACTGAAAATTAACTTACTTTGATTGGAACATGTAATTGTGGCCAGCTAAGATCAGGATTGGGTGGAATAGGATTGTTCCATATAACCAAAACTGAATGCAAATATGGAAGATTTATAAAACTTTCTAACGTTTGACATAATAAATTAAACCGATCATAAGTAAGGATTAGAACTATAAAAAAATGAAAAGAAAATAGATAAATCAACGAATCAATAAACAGGTACTGCAAAGTATTCTAGTGAAAAACAAATACTGACTAGCTGACGTATGGTGGACCAATAGGCTTTCATTAGTCAGGTTATTTTCATATTGGTTAAACATTCGTATGCTCTTATTATCCTTGATCAGATTATAAAAATGACTTGCTTGTAAGAGGCATATAATGAACAGTAGTTTTATTGTATTGATCATCCTTTTTTACGTCTATGAGAGTCGACTGAATTGAGTCAGATAAACAAAGTCACAAAAACCATCAATTCATTCATAGGTTTTCATTCACTTAATTCTTTTATGTGCACTCTTCAAATCCTACTTAATTTCTAATTGCAGTAATTCTATATAAATCCTTCACAACCTATAAAGTTATCACACAATTTATCCTACCTCTTTCCTGGGCTCGATTTCCGCATACGAAATCGTGGATGTGCACTTCTGAAGTTTCATCCTATGAAAAAACGGTCATCCAGTGCTTCCAGGTTTTCAATGCTTATTTAACTTTGATCGGTTCGCGATTTCAGTGAAATACTTTTATGGTTAACGAACGCTAAATATGTTTCTCCCGACTAAAATGAACCGACAGAAATTCGACAGTGAAATAATTAGCACTAAGCTTTACTGATCTTGCCGGCAGAAACCATATAAACAAGAGCTCAGGTATTAAGAATGAGAAACTATTTAAATAACTCAAAAGCAGATTTCGAAAGTCTAAAATTTTAAACTTCCTCTTGTGTTACGTTAACGACGGTTTGATGATATTATGATGCCCATAGACTCTTGCAGTGTTAACAGCTTAATAAGGTGTTAATATTTGGCTATATCTAAATAAAGATTATGGAAACAAAATTCATGAACTGTGATGTATGCTGCGACAAATACACTTCCAAGATAGCAGTAGGAAACCATTTTTTGACCTAATCGACCATAGCCATTCTACAGATCCAAAAATTTATTTTAAGGTTGTTTATATGATTCGTTCAAATCTACCCAGATTTCTTTGTATCCAACTCTTAAAAATAGCCGAAGCTCTTACCATCCAGGAGCTTAAACCAGAACTATGTGTACAAAAGAAGTACGCCTTATCGTTATCGTTACCTTGGCCTTAATTATTCTGATTATCCTATTATTATTATTATTATTATTATTATTATTATTATTATTATTATTATTATTACTGCATTCCCCTTTTTACTTATGTCTTATATTTTCATTGTTTTATTCATAAATGCTCATCATATCACCTTATTTATTATTTTTTACACCTCTATGATTTTATTTTAACAACCAATGAAAAACAGAATGCACTTGACGGCTGTTTTGTCCTAGTATGGGACCTCTCTGTAATGTGCATTCATGACCCCAACAGAGATCTAACCTAGAGCTTGAAAAAAACACTTTACCTTTGAGATAAAATGGTGGTTGGAGGTAGTCAACAGAAAACCCTGGACCTAGGTTTCGTGCTACTTGGCACTCGACAGAAAGGTGTACCTGTAATCTTGAGGGAACTGATGCTCCCTGACGGATTTAATCCCGTGTCACTTATATATATATATATATATATATATATATATATATATAAGACCTCTGCTCATTGATTCGATACTTACTAGTAAACTGTTCATATGGATACATTCCACCTAAATTCATATTGAATTCATATCCTGCAAGATTTATAGTATGGTTAATTGGTCTTAAACCATGATTTGTAGAACCATCTACAAAATAAATGTAAAAGTAGATAGAAAAATAATGCAAGTTGTAATGAATTAGTATATATTACACTAAATGTTAACTTCATAAATGAAAATTTGACAAGCGAGTAAGAATGGCATGCGGACAGTAGTATAGAAGTAAACGAAAGTAAGACACACATCATTATTGCACAATAAATTGCAAAAACGTGACGTAAAGCATACACGCACAGTTGTTCACTACCGTGATAGATTTCCATTCATACCACCAATATTAGCAAGTTTCTTACCGACAAAAATTTATACCAATTTGTCCCAATATTCCTGCTTGGCCAAACAAATTTTATAATCTAATTTTATATCATTTATAGAAGTATGCACTCTGGCTTTATTATCGGATTAAGTTAATTTTTTTAAGAAAACTTTATACAGACAATCTTCAAGTTTATAATTGAAAAATACTCAAAAATGTATTTATTTCTTACATTAAAAACTGAAGTGTATGAATTGTGATGAATGGTTCAACCACTAAACCATTATTTTACTAAAAAGTCCTGTTACAAGGAGTTACAAGTTGGTCATTATTGACTGGTTTATGAAATTTATTTCCAGTCTTGTTTGATCATTTGTTAACTGACAAATGTATCTCATAATCAAACTAATTCGATTCAAGATTTTTGCTTGTCAGTGAAAGATTTGATTTCTTAAGATGATGTACTCACTTATTCAATCGGTTGATTAGTATGATTACGTATTCAAGAATCGATTCCGTTGGTGTTTAGAAGCTCATTCTGTGAACAAATCATTTGGTATGCAGCTTTAGTCATTCCAGTAACTATATCAAATTAATTGGGCCATCGTAAAAATTATCACACTATGTTTCTATAAAATGGATTGGATTGTACCGAATTAAACTGATCAATCGACACCTACCGAGAATGTTATGTCCCTACTATTTTCCTAAATTCAACTAAATTCAGACGACCATTATCAACGTCGCATCTGGATTGTTTATGAATGAATAAACCAACTAGTAATAAATGGGCAATTACACACAGAGCTATTCAATATCTTTAAAAATGTAGTCTACTAGTAAAATAAAACTACTTTCAAACAGGTATAAAGTACTCATTATTAGAACAAAATCATATCAAGCAAACTCACATGGTACAAATGCAGCATCTGATGGAAGTGGAGGTTCCCATGGTGTGGAAGGAAATAACCATAATGGATTAACCATGTCACTAATCCCACCGTAAAAAGATACGCTAGCCAATCGAGCTGATCCACCAGGACCTGTATAATTCGATTGATAACTAATGGAAGATTGTTGTGGTCCAACTGGACCGAGGAAATCATCTAAATCAACTTGAAAATTATTCTCTTTATGTATTGGATACTGTTTAGGTGGGTGAAATTCTTTATAAGCCGGTAAACTAGACCAGTGAGGAGCAGGAGGTTGAGGAAAACCAAGACGTCGACTAACAGCTAACAATAAAGTGGTAAGTTGTGATGATTTATTTTTAAAGTAACGTTGAAATAAAATCTGGCCCTGAAAAAAGACATTTTGAGAAAAGACGAGGGAAAGTTAAGTAATCGTATATAGTAAACGTAACGAAGGTGGTTCAGAGGTTGTGGAATTGTTGATTTTATATTGAGATCATGAACCGATCAATTTTAGGCCACTACTGAAAACCTGAAACCACTGGACAACCGCTTCTTTCTAGTATGGGACTCCTCAGCAGTGGGTGGGTAGCCGCCTCACACCCGAAGATGGTCACCCAATATCGTGGATTGGTTAAAGTTGGACATCAACACCGTTTGATTCCGGCTCAGTGATCTAGAGGTTGAGCGTTCACACGAGATTGAAGACCCTGCGTTTGAGTCCTTCGTGTGAGATAGTGGATGTGCAATGCTGAGGAGTTTCATACTAGAATGAAACGGCCGTCCAGTGCTTCCAGGTTTTCAATGTTAGTCTAACATTGATCGATTCATGGTCTCAATAAAAGAAAACTAACATTTTTCTTCATTATCTAATGCCTTGATTTCGTTGTTTTGAAATTGTATAATATTTTGTCTCAAAATTCCTATTACTTAGCACAGAAAAACAGATAGTCACTTTATTTGCAGTAAAATAGACTTCTTAATTATCATCTATATTGAAAAGTTAAACATCACCAACCGGATAATTTTTGATTTATTGAGATCGTAAATCAGCTTAGCACTTGACTGTTGGCATACATGAAGGCGTCCAATATTTTTTTTACCGGGTTTAGTACTTAATTTTTAAGTAAATTTAGAATGTTTGACAAGTATACGATCAACGAAGTAGATTATTTATATAAGTCAATAACCGACAACGGACAGATAAAGCATCTACTAAATCTATTTTTATGTTTGTTAGTCAAGATAGTTAAGACAACAAATAATCAAACTATTTATGTGCTATAAGGCCCCCAAATGCCCTGATACGGCCGAGAGTGGGGAATCTGCTCTCCCTCTCGAAATGCTCTTACATGACCACGCGTATAAAGTCTCTGCCAAGGAATTCCTACTCACTGCCTTCTCGCGGCACTATTGTTATTTACGAAAATGAGAGGACGAAAAGCGAATGCCTGGTGCTTTAACCGGGTTGGTGGACATGGAGAGTTCATCTAGGGGAGTTGGAGAACCGTGATTACAAAACAATGGTGCACATGGGCTCCAGTATCCTGAAGGAACAAATGGCGTATGAACCAATCGTTGGTCACCGGCTACCATGGGACTGCACCTCCCGACGTTACTTCACTACCTTTCGGATCAGACCTTTAGGTCAAAGGCTCCGGGTATAGTCCCCTAAGGGAACCACCTGGTTCGTTTTGGGCACCCGGGAAGTATTCCAGCCGTCACACAAATTGAATGATTTGTGTGGTGCATATCTGTTTGGTGCCTCCTTGTACCAATATCTGTGTGTTAAAATAAATAAATAAATGTGCTATAAGGATACCATTTATTAAGCATGTCACTTGGAAACCAAAAAACATCGACTTTTAACAATTAAGTCACTGATTCAAATCTTAATCTACGTTAATTTTACAGGTCCAATAGTATCACCACCAAACACAAAAGTGAATTGAAGATAACAACAAAAATCTATATCTTGCTGGTAAGTTGATTTTAAGAAGAATATGACAAGCCAAATAAAGAAAAACTGCACTGTAGAAAAGCAGCATTTGATGGAAGTAGATAATCCTATGGTGTTGAAGGAAATAACCATAATAAATCAACCATGTCACTAAAATATAAGACTGGATATGTCAAATGGTCTTCTTAAGAACTCGAAATTCATAGTCAATAAAGTTGAATCATTAATATTTGCAGTATTGCATACACAGTAGAAATATGCCTGATTCTAATATGTACTTGTGAGATACTATCCTTGTTAGTAATTGATGTGAGATACCTAAACAATACGATATGAAGTGGAGGAGGTGAAACAGAAAGAAAGCAAGATGAAAAGACATATAATACTCTCTAATTTAAATAATTTTTTAGTGGTAGAACTAACCTGTCGGCGGATCTCAACGATATGCGCTTCAGGCAAAGACTGAAGTAAAACTGGAAGTTCCTCGACTCGAGGTTTAGGAACGTGTACAATAACTTTAGACAATAACTCCGAGTTGATTGCTTCATCAGAATATATATCGTTATTTCCAATAAAAACAGGAATAGCACCATTAGCTAAACAGTTAATCAATTGAATTCGTAATCCTAAACTCAAATACGAGTTTCTTGCACCAGTCATTATTAATCCAAAGGTTGACTTGCGAAGAAGCTGAAGATTATTTAAATACAACTTTAACTAAAGTGTCATAAAACAACAAGAGAAAACACAGTCTATGAACTTAACATACCATTCGAGGGTTAAATATAATATCTCGGGTGGAACTCGAACCTAGGGCTCATCGCCTACAAAACGAGTCTCTTAACTAACGAGCCACTGGAATCACGCATAAGCTGTAGTTCCTTGGTCTGAATAGGGGATGGACATTGCTTCATCATCCAAGCGCAGTACTTTCAACCAAAACAGTTAATTTAATACGTCATCATGGGGTTACATTAAAAAGTTGGATAACCATGACTGCTCAACGTAAGCATACTCATAAAAATTTAAAATTATTCAAAACTCAATACATAACTTTTGTCTTATAAGCGAGAGGAATTACGTTTAGAAAGAAAAGATGAATAAAATAGAGAACATAAAAAAGAATAACACTACACGCGGTGATCCTAAAAATATTCAGCGAGACTCATTAAAGTTAAAAACTTGATAAATTATGATTACATCATGAACAGGATGGTGTTTAGTAGCGATGTAGTATGACTTTGTAGGGTTGTTTTCTTTTCCAAAAGAACCTTATCAATAAAGCATTTTTAACTTTATTTTACGAATTAATCGTTTGTTTTGTTGAACATGCTGAGTATATACAACTTCTACCAAAATCCTTTGGAAAGAACCAACTGTCCAATATTATTGAGATGATGATTTACTAATTAAAATACTGGAATACCAAATATTAGATAAAAAGTATAAACTTCATCTCGTTGTACATTAAAACAATGTATGTTAATCTAAGTCGAGTATATAAAAATGTATATGGATATTTAATTATATGAACAAAACCTGGAAATGATAGTTTAAGAAGAACATAAATACGAATATTCAATATATGAAAATCTGTTATAAACACATAAAATCCCTGTGCATATTTATAAGATGGTATCGCTAGTGTATAATTTACAGGACCCTGAATATAATCGCAAATATATATATATCAAAGAATAAAACTGGTAACTTTATTTTTTTTGTTACACAAGTGCACAAACACACACACAGAGCTTTATTCAGTTGCCAAATTCAGATTTTATGACTAAAACAAAAAGACAGTTACACTGTATTTCTTTTAAAAAACTAAACGTTACAGTTAATTGCCAACACACTTTTTTCGTTTAGCAGTTAACCAAAACTCAGCAATTGAAAACAATAAAAAAGGTACAAGGGGAAATAATGACGTGCATGGATTATAAAAAACATGATTGAAATGTTCGTCTCCCTCTTTTAACTTACCATTAAAAATACTAATTCTAGAAATTAAAATGAATGGATGACTAACTTAATCACTTTGATAATATACTGTCCATTAAGTAAAAGAAATAACAATGTACTTTAAACAGATAATTAAATGTAAACTTCAAGATATTATCTGAATTAAACCAATATTTAAGCATATAGACAACAAGAAATACAATTATAGGTAACAAATAAATGTTATATTCAACGTCTTCTTTAGCAATAATAAGATAACTGGCATTGTGAAAACGAGGATAGGACTATGTTACAGTCATTCGTTATGATTCCGAAGAAAATTCTTGGTATAACATTAAACAATTTCAACTCAATAAGATTAACTTGAAATGGATGTCCGGTATGCTCATGCTATGTACCATAGAAGGGATAGATTCTATAATGATCAGAGACCGAGCAAAATAGTACAAATTATTAATTCACAAAGTCATTGAATGTAGTGAAATGAGATGTATAAGAAAACAAGGGCAAAAAAAACGCCGATGTATTCAGTCTAAATGTTATCCTAGATCTTGAGTTTTAATATAATTACACACATTTTATCCCTAAATTTCATTTATTCATTATAAATTATATTTCTTACATTTAGTATGCTGTCATATTCAATTTCTTTGGTTTTTATGTTAATTTTCTTGTAGCAATAATGAAAGTGCAAACTGAGGATTTCTGATTCCGTTCTTTTAAAACTGTTTTTGTAAAACAGGAAAACTCGGCACACATAATGAAACTATCCAACAACTTAAATGTAAAATAGTACACTGCAATAATGATGATATGTCGTAGTGACTAATAGTGCTAATCAGTTACTCATGATGAGGTTGCTTGAGTGTATTCGAATACGGGATTTACTAGTTGATAACGAGTGCTAAAACCCTACAGTATATTAGAATAAACTATCTTATGGTTATTTAACTGCATTGTAGCTTTCTGAAACACAGTTCGTGAGTCTAAATCAGTGATCCATTTAGCTTTTTATCGACAGCTTGAAATTTAAAGGGTTATTATGCGTCAGCTGTAATGTTTCCAGAAATAATTAGCAGAATGTTTGAACAGCGACTTAAACCACCAGTAATTCGTTTCTTACTAATGGGATTTTCGTTAACAATGTCTTTTCTTACATGTCTGACTAGTATGTTGGAACATTGATCGCTGATGTTTTTAACAATACACAAGTGGTCTATGCTCAAATAGCACACAAAACTTCCAAATTCTAAGAACATCTACTGGCAGATACTGCCAATATAAAACTTACAAAATCAATTTTTAGTTGGTTAGGTTTATTACTTATGTAATCAAAACTTGCTAATTCTAGGGTAATATTAGCTCTAAACATGGACTTGTACAATGTAACTTACTGTTGAAGAATCTTCACATGGAAACCAATCAGTATCAGATAGGGAATTTCGGGAAAGGAATTCTCTATATTTATTAGACCAACAACTTTCAAGTTCATTGGTATTTTTATGAATCGATATGGAAATAAAAGAGGTTGACTCATTCTTTTTATGACTATCGTTATCCAACTTTTTCAAGTGTTCAATAACTAAATTATCCAATGATGAGTGATTTTCAGCAAGACGACTTTTGGACAATATCCCAATATCAAAGCTGAGTAATAATGCACGTCTTCCTGGTAGTAAACGCAAAGGTGAAGAAATAGAGCAAATTTTCTTCGAGTATTTACATAAAATATCGTAATTTATTGGCAACAAGAAATCGAATCCTCGGCGAAATGTATTTTCAGGAAATGAGTAGGCGACCAGTAAGAAGTTAAGATGATTTTTTGAATAATTATATTTCCGATATATTTGATCAAGTTCCAATGCATTGAAAAACAAGACAATACAAGTTGGTAAAGTTTCTGACGTCAGTTCAGATTCCTGTATACATTTTTGAGCACCTTCAACACCAAAAGTCAGTTTTAAACATGCAGTATTTTCAATATTACATCTTTCAGTAAAATGTGGAGAACTTTGAAGTAATTGTTCAAATGACATAGTATTATTTGAACCATAATAATCAGTGCAAAACTTCAAAAATCTTATAAATCGACACCGATTCCAATTGATACAGGATTCTATGGTGCATAATTCGTTTGATGAGCTTATGACAGAAGGATACTTTATGCTCTCATTATTTAAGTTAAGATGAACAACTGGCCATTTGGAATAAAATACAGCTGACGATGCAGTATTATCTGAAAGAGTTTGTTTGTACGAATCTAAGGTGGCCTAAAATACAAAAGTTTATTTAGGAGTGACAAATCATCCTAGAGAATTTCAGAATATAACTCACCAAGCAAATATGTAATCGGACAAACTTTAGGTATGAAAGTTAATGATACTACTAATTATGAGTTTAATTCATCCATTGTAGCCCTGATCGTCAGTTAATACAACCCTATGCACAGAATAACCTACAGAGATGCATGTACTACGTAAGCTGTAATTATTTGTAACCGATAAACCACAAACATCAATACGATCGATACTAATTTACTTCTGTCACTTCAAACAACTATTTTCCTCTGATTTACAAGAATATTGAATTCGGATTAGCAGAAGCAGCTGTGAATTACATACGGGGATATGCGACAGTAACTTGACAGTTACAAAATCTGACCTTCATCTGGTTTGTCTATGGTCCGAACCCCGTTTCACTTCAAGATACAAGCTTTATTAGATTGAACTCCTTCTCATGTTCTGTGCGTTAAATTTAGAGTGATTAGATACTATTTGAGTCGAAATTTTTAGTTCCATGCTTCTTCACTCTGTTATGACCTGATATGGAGTGTACTGACATTGGATGCTAGATTTGGATATGTGTTATCCAGACACTGAGGAAATGCTTATTCCTAGTCTAACTATAAGATAGATATTAATCAAAATCAATGTTACGTAATTTTTACAATATTCTCAATATACCTAGCACAGAACTTCGGAAAAATATCGCTTTTACAACTTGAAAATAAAAACAGATTTCTAGCCCCTACTTATGTGTTATTATCTATCGTAAGAGATATCTACGAAGGAATCAGTGATTAATACATTTTATTAAAGACAGAAACAGAGGGACAACATTGCGTTTAGAACGTTGACCTTGTTTAGTTAAATGGAGATAGCTATAACCAAATATTCGTAAATACCACAACAATAAGTAACACCCACTTTACACATTATTCTTTTATACATAAACCCAGTGATCACTCAGTTAATCACAAAAATTAACAATAGTGATATACTTATTCATTCATATTACTTTACTCGTCAATAATGAGAAAATATTTAATTATTTGATAGTAACATACTCGAAGACGTATTATTTGCTTTGAATGCTCTACAAGAATAGATCGTAAACGTTCTACTTGATTTTGAAGGACAGCATTAGTGTCCACTAATTCTTTACGTCTTTGATGTAAATCAATTAACTCGTCATGAACAGAATGATTGATACGCATTAATTCATCAATAAGAAATGGCAAAGTAGATGCTGAATTTAGAAGTAAATTTCCATTTTTTTCTTGATGGGAAATTTCTTTTCCTGTTAAATAATTCACAGATGTAAGTCGATGACTTGTTACAGATGGATATGGATTCCACAATGAAATAATTATGTAAAGAAATATGACAGTCAGCAAACATGTACACACGATCAGAAACTTTCTATTTTGTCTGATTATTAAATAAAAATTCTGCATATTAGGTAACAGATATATCATAATCCCGATAGACCTGTGGATAAGTTCGATGAACTAACTATTTCGCACTGCCTCTTGCCTAAATTTAGGAAATACAGAAAAAAAGAGTCAGTAGAAAATAATTACAAAGTAGTCAATATAATATCATCAAAAATATTTAATGTTAAATAGTCGAAGGCTAGTGACAGGAAATTTTGTATCGAAGTATGTAATGACTGGTACTCACCAAGAAGGTTTATTTGTTGTAAGTTGGACCAATTAGATGTAGAGCAATAATAAATGGGAAATATTGGCGGACGCTCGTTGCTGGTCTAGATTTGGCTTAACTTTCTGCGGAAATATATACGTCCGTGGTTGAAAATCCGGCTTAATTTTAAAGAAAACAGACAAATTTATAAGTTGTGCATGTACTTTCGACTCAGTTTGCCAACAGAAGCATCTAACCCACTTTCCGTTTTCTCACTCAGGTAATTGGTTTGGTTACTTATATAAGAAGTACATACATCAGCAGAGCAGTTGGACGGCTGCAGAATACAACAATATGTAGTTTAAAAACCTGTTATCAAATGTTACAACCGTAGTCACCTCTGTGGAGTTAGCTATTCAGTTCACAGATGGTCTCTCGTTGAAATAATATACTTACATTAGTTAATCACTAAAGACTACACATGATATTCGTTTCTACTCAGCAAGCCCATATCAAATAACCAGAATTTAAGTGGTTTAATTACTTTGTTATCACTTCACTAACCTGTAATTTCAAAGTGCACTACGACCACTTTAGTTAAAGCATTTACAATATGCCTAACCCTCATACAAAAATTAATGTAGAGATGTTTAAATAAACATGTACATTGGATAGCCATGGAATAGTGATGACTAATGGTATGTTTGTCCCATCTTTGGTGGTGGTCAAATTCCATCGATCAAGTTTTAACGTGGCCACTAGTCTAGACAACGCATGCACTGTTTTGTTGTTAAACTATTGGAATTAGTTGGCAGGAAACCCTGGACTTGGAGTTTTGTGCTAGTTGGTACTCGCCAGCAGCGCTTATCTGCAACCGTGAAAGAACTGATGTTCCCGGTGAGATTTGAACCTAGATCATCATTAGTTGGTCAATGGTTTCCATTGTGATAACGACAGTGGTTTTTCACCTAAACTTACTGAGAACAAAATATTTGATCAACTATTAACTAATATTAATTTAAACGAAAAGGAAAACTAAAACATTTAAGTTGGATAGTGAAAATAATTGTCCCTCTATAGCTTACTTTTATACAGTACGATTTGTTGTGTTTTCTGTCTACGTTATTAATGAAGGTCAAAGTTTCTGCATAAATACTGTCGTTATAGGGTGCACCAAACTTAAGATAACAAATAACTTCATGACCCTTTTTGGAATGACTAGATATCATAGCGATTTATGTATGTAAAGCTAATTTCATCTGATTGTTGCTAAGCTATTAAAGATGAAAGTGATTAGTGTAACGAATGTTTAAACAGTATCATGGCTTAACTATGTTCACTAAAATTAATTAAAATGGCAATCCTACAGATACCAAATAAATATCAAGGGACTAAATTATAATGAGTGCGGTTTGAATAATTATCTCTCATCAAAAACTTATTGCCTCTCTTTAGTCAACTTACCACTCAACTGGTTTAAAATAATCTACACAAGTTCATGATTATAAGCTAACCAGGAGTTATATATTTATTCACTTGCCTTTCCCACCTACAAACAAGTGCTTTGATCAAGTGGAGAGAAGATGGTTCGATATATCAGCATATTACGAAAGGCAGACACATTAAATACAAAAATGAGGGGATACTGAGAAAATCAGTATGAGAAATATAACTTGCCTGTATTAATGAGCAACACCAAGTAATAAGTATTGGGACCATAGTAACAAATGAAATGTTAGATAAGATTTGGTAACTAATTGGGTTTTTTAGATGACGACCAAATTATTTATTTATTTGAACGCATAAATATTGGTACAAGAGGGCACCAAATATATATGCGCCACACAAAACAATGAGAATGGGAAGGGAGAAGAAAAAAGAACAATAACGACCAGGTTAGTGTAAGGTAGTGTAATAGTAATAATAATAATAATAATGGGGGAAACGGAAAGGTACAATCAGAAGAAATCTTTCAGTTAGGAAGATACAACCACATTTTACGAAGAAAGTAAAAGAAGATTACAGCAGGATCGCCACTGGCTTCTATTCTGAGCCATATCTGATAACGTCTCTAGCCACTGTGTCGTACCATCTCTCGGACCTCAGCCAGGGAGTCGTGAAGGACCAACACAAGCCAGTCCTTTGCAGCTTTCTTTCATACCACGACACCATGTCATATACTGACCACCTCTCAGCTTTATCCAACCAGTCCCAGAGTCGGCAAATAATGCACGACGTGGAATTCTCTGGGACGACATTCGTAGAACATGTCCAAGCCACCGAAGTCAGTGTCTCAAGATGGTGACACCAATTGCATTATCATTTCTGTGCCCGAACACACGATGCCCAACCTCTGCATTACTGACATGGTGTAGCCACTAGATGTCAGCAATCCTTCGGAGACAGCGATGGTCGAACACAGAGAGTCGTCTAACATCGTAAACTCAGAGAGGCCAGGTTTCACAAGCATAGAGCAGAACTGCTGTCACCGACGCGTTGTAGATCCGACCTTTTACAGCCAGACTAACATCACGAAGGCGCCAAAGATGGTCCAGATTGGCATAAGCCGCTCTGGCCTTCACTATACGTGCATTGATCTCATCACTCACGCGACCACCAGCACTTATGCAGCTACCTAGATACACGAACTTCTCGACCATTTCTATCTGCTCACCATCCAGAGTGAGTACAGGATTAGAATCCTGCCAGTCTTGTAGAAGTACTTTGCACTTTGAAGGTGCAAAGCACATACCGTACCTACGGACGTTGATTGCCAACTGATTAAGTGCGGATTGCATGGCTTGGGCATTATCGCACAGTAAGACAATATCATCTGTATGTGAATCTTTAACCAACAATGTCAAATAAGAAGTATAGCCACTAGTTAGAATCGTAAAAGCTACACCACAATAATTATGTTAGATTTTGAAGGAAATCGATCTCCCTACAAGTAACAAACGTCACGTGTATGTAATATGCGATGTAGGCTTAGTAGCCCTTACTAATTAAAACAAGATTTGAGCCATGGAGGCTGCAAGAAATTTTGTGGCTACTTGCTGAATATCCACAATGAAACATCTTTCGACTTAATAACTCGAAACCACATTAGCTGTTCTAAATATGGTTTCGTCAACTTGTAAGTTGACCTATGCATGTATATGTCGTACCAACAATATGTGATATATATATATATATATATATATATATATATATATATATATATATATATATATATATATATATATATTCCATCTTAGGCCTGATTACATAAAAGTGAATGAGTGTAAAACGAGGATAATGCCTTTGTTCTCTCGTTTCCTTATTTTACATCTGCTTGAGTAGCATTTTTTGTTTAGGGAACTATTTTTAAACCACTAACAGTCGTTATTAAATGCTTTTTGTAATAGCAATTGTCAATTAATTGACAATATATCCTTAAATTATAATTTAAGGATTAGCTAGATAAAGCTAGGAGTACTCAATCCCATATGAGACGCGAATACGACACTTCATATTATATGATATTATCTTAACTTAGAATGTATATGAATTAATTAATATTGACTGACATCCAATAATGCTCGATAAACTTACCACACCTGAATAACAAAAGTTGGTTCACCCATAAATTATAGCCGTTCCGTTGAATATCTCGTTTATTTTTATGAGTCACAATAAATTTTTCGATTGGGTTTTGACATTGACAACATTCACAGTATCCGCAAGGTCATAACACTTTTACGTAGCGCACTGAGCAAATCTTCAGCAGGTTCAAATGGTTCAAATGGTTCAAATGGTTGTGGACGGAATAGAAGAAGCTTTCGCTTAACAGGCTTCCGTGTCTAGTAGCAGGGGATCACCAAATCCTCCAGGCAGGAACCTAGGTATGTTAACAATAAAAAAGGAAAAGAAATTGGTAAATCATAATGTGATGCTGTCCTTGGTCCTTAAGAATAGGTCAAGTTGCCTCTTGAAGGACTCCTGAGAAGTCGCTTGGACTAGCTCGGCCGGCAGCGAATTCCAGCTTTTGACAACTCTTAAGGAGTAGAAGTTGTGTCTACATTCCGTCTTGCTATGTTGTGTTTCCAGTTTCTGGGTGTTACCCCTTAGGTTATTATTCGAACTAAGCTTAAGTAGGTGTTTAAGAGGATGTCCAGAAGTGTTAAGAATACTATGAGCCATTAGTAAATCACCTCTAAGACGCCTATATTCTAGTGGGTAAAGGTCTAGTGAACGGAGGCGTTCTTCGTAAGGCTTAGATTTGAGTCCTCGAACTGATTTCGTGGCTCGCCGTTGGATACGCTCCCAAGTGACCTTGTCCTTTTGGAGTGAGGGGGGGAGTACTATGTTTCCGTACTCTAAATGGGGACGGATGAAACTATTGAAGATTGTATGGAAAGTTCGTCCGTCAAACTGTCCAAAAATGCGCTTCAACGTTACCAGTGCAAGGTTTGCTCGGAAGGCATTTTTGTCACAGTTAGCGTAAGACTTTAAGTCATGGGGCATCAGGACTCCTAAATCTTTTTCGACTTGGGATACTACTAGAGAGGAGTTTCCTAAGTTGTAACTGTAGTTTGCGACATGTCGCAGATGGACTACTTTACACTTTGAAGTGTTAAAGGTAAGTCCGTTATCGTCTGCCCAACTTTGAAGTCGCGTCAGATCCTCCTGAAGTGCCTGTGTATCGACTTGGTTGCGTATCTCTCTCCAAAGTTTCACGTCGTCGGCAAAAAGTAGTAAGTCTGACGTTACCTGTTGAGGAAGATCATTTATGTAGATCAAGAAGAGAAGAGGCCCTAGTACTGAGCCCTGGGGAACCCCACTAGGACATTCCATAGCCTGAGATAAAGTGAAATTAACCCTAACCTTAAAGTGTCGATTTTTTGGGTATGAAGTAAGCCAATCGATTAGAGGTGGTTTGATACCTAGTCGTTTGAGCTTATTGATAAGACACAAGTGGTTAACCTTATCAAAAGCTTTTGAGAAATCAAGGTAAATGACGTCAACCTTTCCCTTGCAATCGAGGATGCTTGTCCATTTGTCCACCGCAGTCAGCAGGTTGGTTATACAAGAGTAACCCTTCCTGAAACCATGCTGTTGGGGTGAGAAGAAATTTAAGGACAGTAGATAGTCATTTAAACCGTCGCATATCAGGGACTCCATGAGTTTTGAAGGTAATGACAGAAGAGCCACCGGCCGATAACTTGAAGGTTCATTGCGTCGACCACCTTTGAAAATTGGTGTGATGTGAGCCAACTTCCAGTTTTCCGGTAATTTGCCTCGGCTAAGCGAGTGTGAAAACATCACGCTAAGCGGCGTTGCCAGGATTGAGGCTGCCTCCCTCAGTATGGCAGGATGAACCATATCCGGGCCAGGAGAAGTGTCAAGTCTTAAGTGCTGCCATTTCCGGAACACCAAGTCAGCGCTTAGGTCCACTTTAGAAAGTCCTGTGGAATTGCAGATGAAACTGTCGTCAATAAAGTTGATGTCAGCCGGTTGGAATGTTTGAGAGTAATGGGCCGCCAGAAGGTTAGCGGCGTCGCCATCGTTGTTGGTCGGGCCGTTAAGACCTAGCAGTTGAGAAACTCCTGTTTTGGCTTGACGAAGAGAGGCTGCATAACGGAATAGGCTTCTAGGGTTAGAGGCGAATTTGTCCATAAGCTTTGTTTGGTACTGAAGCCTGTCTTCTCTTATAGCCTTCGTGCATGTGTTCCTGATATGTTTATATTGCCTATACGCTCCATCGTTATTAGTTCGTTTGTATTCCGCCCAACAGTGCCGTTTGCGGCTTAGGAGGCGAAGGGTACGGTTCTTGATTACTGTAGGTGGCTTGAAGCTTTTGGGAACCGTTTGAGGAACTGAATGGTTTGTAGCACATAAGAGCGTGTGCAGTAAGAAGTCCCAATGACCATCCACATCG